CCAAGTCGTCCATGGTACCCTTGAGTGCCCTGGCACTCCTCCACTATCGTGAGTGGATCGTTTGTAGTTTGTCAGAGACTCTAATGCCTCTCGTTGGGTCGGCGAAACGCTCCTTGAGGAGCTTGAGGAATTGGGAAAGAGGGGTGACTTTTGAGTATGCAACCAGGTTGTTTTCACAACCGGCTGCGCGCGCAAGACACCTAGCGAAACTAGCCGCTTCATCCTTGAGGGCTTGGAAGGCCACGAGGACGTGCTCCTCAATCAGGATGTGTTGTAAATAAATGTAACTATTGACACTGGCTTCCCAGTTGTCAAAGTTTTCTTCCTTCTTTCCCCCGTACACATCTGGGAACTTAAGTTTCACTGGGTCCTTACGGGGTCTGGCCTCTCCCTTTACAGCGGCTATAGCTTTGGCACCCTCAATGGCGTCTTCACAGAACTTTCCTACATTGTCCCTCAACTGCTTTACTTCGCCCCCAATGTGGGTGACGATCTCGCGCGCAAACTCCCTAAATCCTGACCGCATGGCACTCAACGCTACATCTTGGCTCCAACTAGCCTGGCGCGCCTCCATCCAGGCCTTGCTCAACACTTCCAAGTAACCCAACACCTTGTCCCACTTGGCCTTGTCGTCAGGTTGGGCCAACACTTCCTGCCTGCACTCCTGCACCTTTGCTACCTCCGCGGTCATTTTGTTCACTTCCTCTCTCCTCCTCTTTTTCTCCCTCTTCATCCTCAGCTTCCATGCTCACTTCTGCTCCTCATTCCTTTCTCGCCGTTCCATGGGGTCTGTCATTGCGGCTAGCTCACTGGCTAGCGCAGCCCTCTCATCCTCAGACACATAAGACTCCGCCTCTTCCTCTTCTCCCAACGATAAGTTAGTAACCCACTCACTTATTTTTCTCTCCATCTATGCGTCTATATCTCTCTTCGTGCCACTACTCCCCTCTCTACTCTCAATACGCATTCTCTCTTTCTCTTCTTTAGCTGCCGCTTCTTCTTCAGCAGCCTTCTTCCTTTTCTCCATCTCCTCCTCCAATTCCTTCATCTTTGCCGCCTGTTCGTCTGCAATCGCCTTTAACTTTACTTGCTTCTCGCGCTCTTTCCTCTCCCTGTTCTCTTTCTCTAAAGCGACCATCTTCTCTTGCTGCTCCTTGGCATAGGGGCTAGTGTCTAACCCACTACGGGTCTCAACCATGGTGATAAGTGCACAACCGGATTAGTGGTTCCAAACCTCACCACGTAGACTCTGACCCCCTGACTGACAACCCTATAGACTCAATCTAAGACTTACAAAATCCGGACAGGGATCCTGTCAACTATGGTCTCTAGCCTAGGCCTACACTATGGATGTCACTACTAGACCTGTTGCTGATCAGGAGGCCTTTTAAGGAGATCCCCCAAACTCCTCAAGAATTCTTTAACGTCGCAGACAGGACAACGTGATCAGCTTGGTCTGGCCCGTTGCATCAGCCCACAACTCAGCCTTTCGGGCCTACCGTGCCACACCAAGCAGCTCGCCGGTCAGTACCGGTCCTTGAGAGGGTTTGGCCTCCAGGACAGTCGAGTCGTCAGACGCGACCTTTAGCCTTACTAGGTCCGGTAGGGGTTTGGGTCAACAAGGCCCTCAACACTTAAGACTGTCTGTTGTGTCAGCCCACGTCTCCGCCGTTCAAGCCCACAGTGTCACGCCCAATCCGAGCCCCGCCGGTCAGCACCGGTCCTTGGGAGGGTTAGGCCTCCGAGACAGTGAGATTAGACACGGTATCAGCTCTACTAAGTCAGATAGGGGTTTCGTCATACAGGCCCTATCCTTCATCCACAGAGTACTATCACCTAGGACAGAAGAGACTCGATGCAGAAAGAATAGACAGACAGACTGTACTCAGCAAGTACCAAGGGGTA